AGATAATTATGTGAATAGATAAATTAATAAATAAATAAATGTATCTACCTGCATTCTACATATATTTGCTGATCGATTAAAATAATAATAATATTATTATTATTAATTTTACTTTGTGATTTTGAAGTATTGTTGGTTGAAGTTTTATCAAAATAAATCTAGTTAACTGTTCAAATTGTAATGAATTCCATATTACAGGTTACATAATGAATACATCATATTTTTTTGTACTGTTTACAGTTTTTGGGCTTTGTGAGACTCTCTTTGTTGTTTGTCTGTCTGTTTGTTTGTTTGTAGTTCTTTGTTTGTGATTTGTTTTTTTTTTCAGTTCTTTGTTTGTGGTTTGTCTGGTCTTTGTTTTATTTTGCTTCGTTGCTATCAATGGCTATTTATATTTTTTTAAATGACATTAAATATTTTCTGATCTATTTATTGATGTTCATTCATTCGTTTATTCTTCCGCTCACTCGTTCATTTATTCATTCATGCTATTTATTCTTTTATTCATTCATTCATTCATTCACTCATGGTTACTACTTTACATACATTTATTTATTGCTATCTATTCATTGATTGCATACAATTATTGCTTTCTTTTTTTTCTTCAAATTTTGCATATCTGCAATGTTTTTTTTTTAAATTTGTAACCCAGAGAGGAGAGAGAGTGAGAGGGAGAGTGAATGAGACAATACATACACATAACCAGGAGAGAGTTAGAGGGAGAGAGAATATGAGCAATAAACACATGCACGCATATACACACCCATACACACTTGTACGTGTGTTTATACGTATTTGTGTGAATGTATGTGCATATGTATTAGTGTATATGTGTATGTGTATTTTATCCACGCCAGCAATTACATACTACAGTTTACGCAGTTTTTTTTTTGTTTGTTTTTTTTTTATTCAATCTACCACAAATTAAATGAAGTATTTTTAAATAAATAAATAAATTAATTAATTAATTAAATAATTTATAATAGATTAAATAATGTAAAATGATTGAAAATTCGAAAGGAGTGATCGATTCGTTCGATTTTCCCTCTTCATGCTTGGCTATCAGTACGAAGGATTTCTCTGCTCTTTCATTGTTTTGTTTACTCTTTTTATATCAGTCAAAGTTTAGATTTTGGAATTAATCTTTTATTCATTCATTCATTCATTCGTTTATTCATTCATTCGCTTATTCATTCATTCGTTTACTCACCCATTAACTCATTCATTCATTTATTTTTGGATAATTTAATCAAATGCGTTTATTTCCTCTCTGTTAATAGTTTTCAAATTCAATTTTTAAATCGTTCAATACAATTAAGCTTGGTGATTCTGACATTGAATTTTGCACATCTGCACGCAACCTGGGATTTGTTTTCGATGATAACATGTCTTTTAACGTTCATACAAGGACAGCTTCGAACGAATGCCCTGGACAATTGAATGGGCTCTGGACAACCGTGTATGCTTAGGTGCATCAGATGATCTTTGAGCAAGCATACTCTTTCAATGTCTTGTTCATTCCTTTATCCACTTAAAAATAGACTATCGCAATAGTCTATATACGACCTGTCTGGTGTAAATATGTCTAGACTGCAGTCGGTTCAAAATTGAGCTGCATGCTTGGTTTCGGGTAGCCTTAAATACGATCACGTTAAGCCAATTCTTTTTGCTCTTCACTGTCTTCCGGTTTATCAGATTTATTTTTAAGATATGTTTAACGGTTTTTAAATGTAATAAGGGAGTTGCCCCTGAATATTTAACTGACAGATTCATTCCTAGAGCAATGCCACTCCTGAGTCAAACGTTGCGCTCTGACAATTTAGGTTTACTGTTTGTACCTGACACAAACTTGGCTGTTGGTCGAAGGAATTTCTCCGTAATGGGTCCTGCTGTTTGGAATGGTTTGCCTGGGGACCTTCGTGATCCTGCGTGGTCTGTTATTCAATTTCGTAAAAGGCTGAAACACCATCTCTCTGTCCAAGCTTACCCGTCCTAATGTCTTCTTCTCTCCATTCATTGCATTCTTTTAATAAAGAGCTACGCAACGTACTGCAATAATCGTTAGCGCCTCTGAGATCTTTTTAAAGGGCGCTTACAAACACACCAATAATATATATATATATATTATATTTAATTGTATTAAATAATTCGTTTATAAAAATGAATGAAGGAATTACAACCGTAGTATAATATGTATTAACTAATCAATGTTCATGTATCAATAATATTAATATGTATTTATTTATTTATGAAATAAAATACAA